TGAAAACAACTTCGTTTTTTTTCAACGTTTTTTCATCTGCTCTGAGATATAGGCTTATTTTATTATTTCAGAATTTTGGTATACATTTTATGAAAATCGGACAACTGCCATATATCTGCCATAGAAACGATCAGTAGACGTAGAGAAAATGTAAAGCTGGGAATGCAAAACTGTAACTGTCAAACAGTAAACATAATAAGTGTAGGTAAAATGTAATGAACTATACAAACTTCGGCGTGCCGAAGTTAGCTTCCTTTCTTGTTTTAGGTTCAGTTTCATTTTTTCCGCCGAACTAAGGCTTTAACAGTATCTTATATGAAAGATAACAAAAACATGTTTTCTTTCCTTGTCCCGATAAAAAGTGTAACCGCCTTAAACATCAAAAAATATCTCAAAAAAATATCGATAAAATATGATAATTTTTCAAAAAAAATATCACGATAAAAATATTTATTTTTTCGCAAAAAATATCGATATATTGATATTTTGATATATTTTCGACATCCCTATCACAAAGTAACCAAGAGGAGAAATTGGAGAACGTATCGGCACCCGAAGGTATGGAGTCGCTAAGGGATCAGACTCAGGAAGGAATGGGAAGTGGAAGTCCTGGAGAAGCTAGTGGTCATCAATCGGTAGGCGGAACCGGGGCCATACCGAAGGCTCTCCCATCTGAGATAACGTCAGGAGTCAATGCAGCACTGTTTCAGGCACATCAGACGTACCAGGTGGGAATGGCATTAGAGTACGATGCGTTCAAACGTCAGATGCAGCAGGATATGATGCAGTTCATGAAGGACATAAATGACTGCATGGCGGAGTTTCGCAGAGATGTCTTAAAACAGAACGCAGCGGGGCAGGCATCTTCGCAAGTTCGGCAGGCTCAACCGCAACAAGTTGCACAGGGACAATGCCAATTTTCGGGTACGCAGATGCAGCCACTGTTAGGTGTAGCAACACAGACGCTGGTAAATCCGTTGTCACCTTTCGACCCGAGGATGTTACAGCAACCTCCACCAAACATGGTGCCGGGGTTACGCCACCAGATGGGATTCCCGCCGCCAATCTCTGGGCCGTTATCCGAAAAGCAGGAGGTGAATCGTCACGCGTCAGAAGGGTTTCGGCAAGGGTTTCGACGGAGCATGATCAAAGAAGAGGGAATGGGTCTCACCCGACACCGCCAGAATATCGTAGTGGAAACGGTGAGACACAGCAAAACGCCAATCCAGAACAGGATCCGCGACGAACAAGCGGGGCAACAGGTGATTCAGCGTTTCATGTAGGTCAGCTGCGGAAGTGGGGGCTAAGTTTCGATGGAAGTCCAAGGAGTATGCCAGTGTCCGAATTTATTTTCCGCCTCGAGCATCTCCAGCGATCGTATCAGATGACGTGTAAGGAAGTTCTGAGGGAATTTCACGTGTTAGTGGAAGGACAAGCCAAGGAATGGTACTGGATGTACGTGAGATCGACGGAGAAGCAAGAGTGGCCTTACCTGAGGTATGCACTACAGCAGCAGTTCCAGAGTCACCGAACAAATTTTGAGCGAGAGTATGAGCTACAACAACGGAAGCAGAAGCCAGGAGAAACAATCGAGGTATACATCCAGACCATGCTAGCTCTCCGATCGCGACTAGAGATGCCGTTTTCCGATTTTGATCTGATAAAAGTGATAAAAATGAACATTAGGGATCAGATTTCGAAAATAATATACCCGATCTATATCACTAACCTGGACCAACTCCGACACGAATGCCACTACGCAGAAAGAATCCTGGCGACTCGATGGACCAGACAGCCAAGCAACTTCGAAGCTCACCGGGGATATAATGATCGTCCGAGGGTAGATGAGCTTTGTCCAGAACAAGTCGGAGACGAGAGTGAATCTGTGGATCAGGAAGAAGTGGAAGCCGTGACTAGACACTGGGAGAACCACAGAGAACGACCGCCACTTACCTGCTGGAATTGTGGAACCGTGGGACATGCATTCAATGCGTGTGAATCTGAGGTGTTGAAGGTTTTCTGCTTCAAATGTGGACTCCCCGGTGTGAGGACTCCCAGATGCACGCGATGCCAAACGGGAATCGGTGGGAGGAGAGTGGTCAAGAACGAGGAACCACGCTCCAATCCGTTTGCAATGAACAAATGAAATCCTCGTCAAATTGCATGCCTAAGGATAAGGATAGCTGTAAGGAAAATAAAATTAGTAGGATTCTATTAAATATAAATAAACCAAGACATAGCGTGAAATGGTCGAAACGTGAACCTCTAGCAGTCCGAGAAGCCAATTACCAAGAGGTCCGAAATCGTATATGGGGAACACATAGCCCAGCCCGGCACATTTCTCCGAAAATCGCAAGAGCCCGTAGGAGAGGTCAACAGCGGAAAGCGGAAAGAAGGATGGTGTGATCGGCCATCAGAGCTGCGGTGGAAGGCGATAATAGACCATTCGCTCAGGTCAAGATAGAAGACCTGGAGATCGTGGGTCTTTTGGATTCGGGGGCTTCAGTCAGCTTGCTCGGGGAAGGTTGCCTAGAAATAGTGGAAAGGTAAGGACTGAGATTAGAGAAATCACAATCGATAATGAAATCAGCAGGAGGTACGCAGCATCGGGTAGTGGGAAAAATTCAACCCAACATCTCGTACAATGGGATAACACATCGATTGCCGATACTCCTTTGTCCTTCCTTGAAGCAAAAATTATATCTTGGGATAGATTTCTGGAGGATATTCCAACTGGCACCAGAGGTAGTGGGTGTAGAATCCTTACACCAGGTGGAAGCCGAAGTCATGGCCAATGGAGAACCGATAGAGGCACATGTTCTGTCCCCCAAACAAGCTGAGCAGCTGGAAGAAACAAAAGGACAGTTTCTGACATACGAAAGTCAAGGATTAGGACTAACCAAAGTGGAAGAGCACTCGATCCAGTTAGTTGAAGGAGCCGTACCCGTCAAGGAGAGAGTCTTTCCAGTTTCTCTTTCCAGTTTCTCCGGCAAAACAACAACTACTGTTCACGGAAATCGATGAGATGCTGCGGCTAGGAGTCATCGAGTTAAGTGAAAGTCCCTGGAATAACCGAATGACACTGGTACAGAAACCTGGAAAGAATAGGCTGTGTTTAGACGCAAGAAAATTAAATACACTTACAGGGAAGGATGCTTACCCATTGCAGAACATTGAGTCAATTTTGAGCCGGGTAGATGAGGCGATTTTCATCAGCAGCATCGACCTGAAGCACGCTTTCTGGCAAGTCGAACTCGATGAAAAAAGTCCTCCCTTAACTGCTTTCACAATACCCGGAAGGCCACTGTATCAGTTTCGACGGATGCCATTCGGCCTATGTAATTCGGCTCAAAGGTTGTGTAGAATAATGGATAAGGTAATCCCACAGCGTCTCCGCAGCCACGTCTTCGTTTACTTGGATGACTTGCTGATGATATCCAAAACTTTCGATGAACACTGCATTTTGCTAAAAGAAGTGGCCGAGTGTTTGAGTAAAGCAAATTTGACGATCGGCCTACACAAATCAAAATTTTGTTTCAAATACTTGCGATAGTTAGGATACATCATCGGTGACGGGGTCTTGCGAACAGACCCGAAGAAAGTTGAAGCGATTTTGAAAATAGAAGTGCCCAAAAATACGCGACAGCTACGCAGCTTCTTAGGAACCGCAGGATGGTATCCCAGGTTTATCCAGAATTTCTCCGGGGTTAGTGCGCCGCTCACCGACTGCCTGAAAAATAAAACCAAATTTACTTGGACGGAGGAAGCGACTAAGTCATTTGAAACGCTAAAGAAAGCACTTACCTGGCTCATCCAGACTTCGGGAAACACTTCTGGATACAGTGTGACGCCATGTAGGAAGTGGGGCAGTATTGTTCCAGCAGGATATAGAGGGATCGGACCGACCAATAGCTTTCTATTCGGCGAAGCTAAGGAGAGCACAACTTAATTACAGCGTGACAGAAAAAGAGTGCCTCGCAGCCGTAAAAGCAGTGGAAAGATTCCGTCAGTATGTGGAATTGATGCCGTTTACTATCGTGACCGATCATGCAGGCCTGCAATGGCTCATGACACTCAAAGATTTGAACGGAAGACTGGCGCGTTGGTCATTAGCATTGCAGGCATTTGACTTTAACATCGAGCACCGGAAAGGGAAAGACAACATCGTGGCCGACATGTTATCTCGACCGAACGAGGCCGCCGAATTAGAGTTCTTCGATTTTTAGACAACGGAGTTTGAGAGTCCTGAATATCTGGAAAGAATCCAATTAATTGAAGAACAGGGGACTTACGTATGGAAGAAGGACTTCTCTTCCAAAAGACCCATTTTTACAGAGAAGAAAGCGACGAGTTTGAATGGAAACTATGGATTCCGGAAGCTCTGACGACAACTCTAATCCAGCAGGCTCACTGCGGCGATATGGCAATGCACGGAGGAATGGGAAAGACATTTGCAAGACTCCAACAGATGTGTTATTGGTCCAATATGGTAGTTCAAGTCCGAGAATTCGTGGCAGCCTGTGAAAATTGCAAGGAGAATAAACACACAACGCAGATAAAACGGCCAATGATGGGAAAGGAAGTGCAGGCGGATCGACCCATGCAAAAGTTGTACCTGGATTTCCTAGGAAAATATCCGCGATCCCGCCGAGGAAATACAATGCTGTTCATTGCACTAGACCATTTAACCAAGTTTGTGTGGCTAAAAGAGATGCCGAAAGCCACATCAACAGCGGTGATTCGATTCCTGCAAGAAAATATATTCACCCAATTCGGAGTTCCAGAAACCATACACACGGACAACGGGAGACACGCACTTGAAAACGGGGAGATACGCCCCACAATCCAACGCTTCAGAGAGAGTGAATCAATCCGTGTTAGCAGCAAGCCGAGTGAACGTTCAGGACGACCACACACGATGGGATGAACACCTGGCTGATATACAAGCGTCACTAAGGTCATCTGTACATAACAGCACCGGAGCGTCTCCATACTTTGCCATGTTCGAAGAGCATATGTTCACACATGGGAAGGATTACTCGCTTGCTCGCAAACTGAAAGCTCTCAATGAAGCGGAGATAACCCAATTGCCCAGATCTGAACGACAACAGCTGTATCGGCAGAAAATAAAGGAAAGAATACATCAGGCCTACGAGATAGCTGCAAAGACCTACAATTTAAAAGCACGAGAAATTCGATACTCACCGGGACAAGAGATTTACAAGAGGAACTTTATACTTAGTGACTTCACCAAGTATAGGAACTCCAAGTTTTGCCAAAAGTACACTAAATGCCGAGTAACTAAAGCGTTGGGAAATGCGTTGTACGCTTTGAAAAACTTGGACGGCAATCCTCTGGGAGTTTTCCACGCAAAGGACCTTAAACAATAGTGCCCGGCTAGCAAAACACACTCATCAGGCGTGAATCTCAGGGATGTGGGCGATGGCCTACGTTGGGCAGTACAAACCGTCACAGACGCACATCCTCCACTCCTGTTCCGAGACAACCGTCGGAACCGTAGTGTGCTTGTTATGTGCGAACACTAAAAAAAATGAAATAAACAAACGGAAAATTACAATAAGTTGTTTACCATAGGCCAGATGACGATTGGTATGTCCGAGAACCGGTCATCGACGACTCGTGAGTCCAGGGAGTCGGGCAACTGAGTCCAATACGAAACTGGTTCCTTAAACCGGATGACTCCCAAAAGGAACCAAAGTTTGAACCCGAGAAATTTTGAGTGGTTTTTGGGATTAAGAGAGGCTCAGGAAAAAAGACAAAGGTGAAGTAAAGTGCGAAAATCCGTGGCAGCAGGCGGTTCGGTTGGCAAAAAAATTACGTAATTAAAAAAAAATCGAGTTTCTACCAGTGAGTTGAGATAATATATTCCAGTTGTGAACAAAAATGCTAGTTTAATTAATTATGGTATATTCCGGAGTAAATAATCCTGGATCAGGAACGCTATTTCGGGATAAAGCAGGAAGATCAGCCACCAGGAAGAAGACGACTTTTCGAGGAGAAAAATTGGCCACTCCTTCCTGGGTGGCCACAGGTTTTTATTCCTAAATCTAATTTTAATAACAAATGTAATTGCCAGCCGAAAAAGAAATGTTAAAATAATCTACCATGTCTCTACCAGTTGCCCGACTTAAAATGTAATTTAAGTCCTATTTATTCCGCAAACACATTCTCGCCATACAATTATTAATAAATATTTATTAAATTATTTATTTATATATTTATTTATAAATGTTCCATGTATACGTCCTTCGGTACCGTTGGTAGGATGTCTCAGTGTTATAATTTAAGAAAAAAATGAAAATACAATGAAGTGGTAAAGATGAAGTCAGAGTAGACATTCGTGTTTGGGGGGATGTGATGACTTGAGCAGATACGATCCACTACAGGAATTTTTGGGAGATGTGTCTGAGGATGCACTCGTGGTTGTGAGGGACTCCAAGGACTACGGATGAGCCAGGTAGTCGAATCCAGAAGTCCAAAATCCGTTGCAAAAAAATGTTAGCCGTTGTCCAAGTTTAAAATTCCGTTTTGTTTTTGTTGTTGTGTCTGCTGCGTGATATATTTGTGGTCGTTCCCCTCCTAGAGAGAGACTGTGCCTAGCCGGCAACGATCGCGCGAAAAGCTGGACATAACAACTCTCAAATTCGATGCAGATAATTTCGAATAAGTGGCTAAGAATTTACAACAATTTCCGCGCCTAGTTTGTAGCTAGACCGCATTTGTTTCTCGTTGTTCTCAGTTTCCTCAATTTCAATCACGTGTTCATATCTATATTTAGGTATTTTTAATAATTTTCTGCGATCTATGACATTCTGGCCGTTTTTTTTTTTCCACACAGTTCGGGTTTTTCCTTTAATTTTGTTCTTTTAGCGCGGCCATCCTTGTCGTAGGGCATAGTATGCCCATACAAAAGTAATATATTCTCAAACTAAATGTAACCCATCGTCTCCGTGGCCCATTCGAGCTCAGCCAGCACCCAAGTCCGCTAGTCCGAGATTCAGAAGCTCGGCTTTTAGGTCCAAAGGAAGAGATCTTCGATCGACAAGTGCGTCTAGCACGCCACTAATTGTCATCTCTCAATCGTTGGCGAAAGTTTCTAGCGAGTCTTTGCTTGCAATGAAGTCAGAGAATCCCTCTGTTCCCGAACCCGAATTCCTGATGGTGAAACGCTCTAGCAGCAAAAAAAAGTGGTATCCGCAGAACAGCCAACGGCCACAACCGCGTCGTTGCTCAAACTTATAGCAGTCAGCGATCGCGTGACCCTCTTTGAAGCGAAGATCAACACTCAAGGTCAATCTTCTCTGTCCCACACACGTTACAAGTCCGCCTGCAAGAAGTGCAAGCCTTATGGGACAAAGTAGAGAAGGAGTACGAAATCTGCTCTGATCTAATTGCCCAATAAGGATCCCTAACACGTTGCCTCTGCTGCAGTCAAAATATGACTACTGCTACTCTGTGTATGAGTCATGTGCAGCACAGATCAGCGAAACAATTCCAGCGGCCACTGACCATACCCCCAAAGAGGACAAATATATATATCAGATCTACTTCGCCCACTCCATTTCATGGTCCTTCGACCCAGAAGAGATCTCGTCATCGCTCGTCTTCGTGAGAAGATGAAACAGTTTCATACCCCACCTACTTATATAAGACTAGGGTTGATGAGCGGACTAATTTTACACATGATCTTTCAAGATTTATTTTTGTTTTCATTATGTAAAAAAGATGGTTCTAGTTCTTCAGTTCAGTCTCATAAAGTTGTTATTATCAGGGAAAATTCAGGCATGACGGAACCTTTTCCTGCATCAACCCCTCCCTTCTAAATTGAACCTGAGTTTTCATTCATTTCGATGTGGGCTGCGATCGTAGAAAAAATTAGTACAAGCGATAAATGTGTGAGACCGCTTACCTTTTTTGGTAGAGGATAAATGCAGTTTATGACCTCTCACCCTCAATCCCTTTTTAGTCAGCTTCGCTGGCGAGTGTCCTTTAGTGTAAGGGAAAGCGGCCCTTTTTTAATCAACACCGACAATCTCGGACGACGGTGCCCTTTTCATCCCTCCCTCTTCAATGCATTGTGTGTTGGCAGGTGTGCACAAATTTTTGATGACCTTTTCACCCTCAACCCCCTTTTGGTAAAGAGCACACGCGTTTATCTGCTAGGTTTTTTTACTACTCTAGTAGTTTTATAGTATATTTACACCGACCTGAGTTACCTATCGAAATCGAAATTAACGCAATAACGCAAGACGCTAGTTTATACTACAAAACCTGCGTTATTGCGTTAGTTTTTGACAGCTTGTTTGAAATTATTTGAAACAAAAAAAATTACGAAAATGAACAACGACGAAAGCTTGATAATATCAGCAATAAAGCAACATAAAGATGAAGTTCATGGAATTGGCTGGGATGTCTCCATCAACCTTCGAGGAGCTTCAAAATTCAGGGATTGCCCTGAACACCTTGTGATCCTCTGCGGAGTACCCCACTATAGCGAGGTCCCTTGCCATATCCAGAGCAAAAGTGTGCAATAAGGGAGGGACAACCTGATCAAGAAACTTTTATAGGAAATGCAACCGAAAGTGCTAAACGCATTAGGCAAGCGTTGGGCGTACAATTCCAATAAATAATTTGCATATACATTTTAAATTTATAGATCTTTATTTTAATTGTTTGTTTTAAGTTTGTTTCTGTCTTCGTGATAAAGCAGAGTCCTGACCATTCTTTCACTGGCCGTCTCAGTAATGGACGACTGGCTAAGACATTTTCCGTCCAATCCCCTAGTAGTGCCCCCAACGACAGCTCTTCTTCTTCACACATTGTGTATCACACAAATCCATTTTCGGCCATTTTTGAAATCAGATTGAATTATTTGAATTATCAATCGTCGGCTGCTTAGTTTTTTTTCCGAATTGGTGGTGGAACTTGTTCGATAGTCCAAATATCGAGTAGAAATCTAAAAATTTTGTTGTAATCGACACGAATATCGAACAAATCTGTTGTTATCGATATGAACGCAACTTGGACGCAACTAGGACGCAACTTTTTCCCATCACTAAAAACTACTAGTAAAAAAAACTACGTTTACTGAGTTAACGCAATAACGCAATAACGCAGCCTGGTGTAAATAGACTATAATAGTCGTTTTTCAACATAATAATATCGACACGAATATCGAACAAATCTGTTGTTATCGATATGAACGCAACTTGGACGCAACTAGGACGCAACTTTTTCCCATCACTAAAAACTACTAGTAAATAAAACTACGTTTACTGAGTTAACGCAATAACGCAATAACGCAGCCTGGTGTAAATAGACTATAATAGTCGTTTTTCAACATAATAATATCTAAAATAAAATAGCCATTTTGTATTATTTGAGAATTTCAGATTTAATTATATGAAAACCTGACTATATCATAAAGCTGCCATATAAACGAAGCTTAAAATTTTTTTTCATCTACTCTAAAACTCTAATTGTAAAACTTTAATACAATATTTAATTGTTTAGGTAATGAAGGGTGACATAACTTTGTATATGTATTTAAAGTTGCAAACTGCTAAAGGGTATACAAACTTCGGCCTCCTGAAATTAGCTTTCTTTCTTGTTTTGTATCAGTTTTCTACAGGTTTTTAAATTTTTTTTATATTTAGTATTATGCTAGAATTTATTATGAAAATCGGACTACTATATCATATAGCTGCCATAGGAACGTTAGGTAGATGTCGAAAAAACTCGAAAAGTGTGAATGTTAAGATGTAAATGTAATATGTAATAAATAGCTTAGTTAGGTTTTGTTTTATTCATTTTGAGTTTATTTCATAATTTTGTTACGATGTCGACAAATGCTTTTAACTTTTACTGTATAGGTTATATTGGAAGCAAAATACGAATATTTTACTACCGGATGTTTCTCACTTATGAAAAGCGAATTTTAGTTCTTTTTATATTTTTTTAGTAACCTTTTTAAATTGGTATATGCTAGTCAAGCCTATCGACTTGTTTATATAGTATGATAATATTAAATTGTATATTTATTTGTATTCATATTCTTAATCCGGCTTCTTTTTATAAATTTTATATTACAAACCCTTATGAGAGTTAATGTAAAAACCGGTAAGAATTCTAATACAACCAAAAACCACCCCAAACGAGCATACTAAAAATATTCTCTTAATACCAGAAAAGAGAATTCTCTTAAAAATCATGGCCAGAGAGAAAGGGGTAGAGAACAAGGGAGGGAAAGAGAAAAAGAGAGAGAGAGAATTCACTTAATAACTGAATAATAATGTTATAAATGTTAAAAATACAAAACAGCTCAGTAATATTGAGACAGTTCCTCATAGTTTTAAAGTACTTTAACTTATATTTACATATATGCATTATAGTGAACATACATACATAATCATGAAAGAAGCTGGCTTTAGTCCCAAATGGAATGTTGTTGGTAAAAGTCATAAAACTGATTCATCGTAAAAATAATAGATAATAGTGTGTACTTTCTATTTACGTACATAAAACGTGATGACCTCAAATATTTCTGATATTGTAAAAATTAATTAAAGTAGTGATTCAAATTTAAACGAATTATAGAATTATATAAAAAAAGGGATAGTTTTAATAGCTTTGTATATGTGTAAATATATGTGCATAATAATATTTATTGCTGCTATGAAAAAATCAAAAGCAAAACGGGACAATTTTAATTAAGCGCCAAGCTTATATAATCAACAATTAAAACCTAAAACCTTTCTACTGTAGACAATTAAACATTAAATTTGTACATATTAATATATGTATGTACAAAAGAGGACTTGCTTTATGAACAACCAAACAAATTTAATTGAAATGCAAAGAAAAATATAAAAATTTCTATATTCTGTGTTGATGAGCATATATTAAGGTTAACTAATATCATATGGGAAACCTCATAGCCTTATTATTTATACCCGGTACTCAAAGAGGACAATGGTGAGTAATACTAATTTATAAATATGTGTATGTTACGTATGGTAAGGGAGAAAAACGTGCAACTAACTCAGTAAAATTTTACACTAAAGTGGTAAGGAGGACTAACACAACAAATATTAAATTTCCCAACTTTTTTAAAAATTAATTTAAAGGCGTTGAATTAACTTCACAAGTATTTACACAATGCAAATTTCCGGGATACAACAATGCAGGTTGCATACCTTTTTAAAATTTCAAGAAATTCATTCTGAACTCGTGAAAAGCCGAAATATGGAATTTTAGTTTAAAATATTGCTTTGAAGTGAATTTGATAACATTTGCGGATTGCCCTTTAACATAAGCGAATTCCCTTGTTGATTTAGGGACTCTTTGTTAAATTCCCCTTGGTCCCTTTTATTCACAAGGAATATCAGCTGACCGGTATGGACAAGCGCGTTTGTTTTGCCTGAGTTTTGTTAATAGGGGGCTAATAGGATTTTGGCCCGCTCTAGCGTCCAAGCTAAGTACGCTAGTTTATTACATTAAATTAAAGGTACAAGTATTCTTGGCCGCAGTACTGGAAAAGTTTGAGAAGAAGTTTTGGAAAACTCATGCGGATGTCAGCTGTTTTGCCCGTCTCAATTGACCCATTGTGTAATCTCTGGCAATAACATAATTTTTTCCATAAATAAGATGAAAATCTTATCCTGCGCTTGATTTTTATGCTTCCTACTAATAGAAACTGTTAATTTAATAAACTTTTGAGCGTTATTTTCACTTACATGGTTGAAATTTAAATTGCGTGCGCTAGTCAGCTGTTCTTAAACAGTGTTGTGAAATTTTTACAGGTATACAACAATACAAAATGCTGTTTATATGTAAAAGAATTGCGGAGGTCAAGGAAAAAAAAAACCCTTCACAGCACGCACAGTTTGTACAATAATTTTTGAGATATTTTGCACAAAAACTATTTGTTTCGCATAAGTTAAAAATAGTTCTTTTAATATCAGATCAATTAGTACAACGATTGTTTAAAATTAACATGATACATATTTAATCGCTTTTTTTTTTGGATGCTGACTACCCTTAAGGGGGGTAAGGTATTTAATTTTTTTTTTCGTAAATTTTTTTTTATTTTTTATTTTTAAAGTTTAACATCTTAAGAATATTGTGTCCAAGTTTTACATCGATCAGAGTGAAATTGACGAAGTTATGCGGAGTTGAACGAAGGTCGGTTGGTGATTAATGCATGGGAATCACAAAGTTTAAAGCGCTCTCCTGAAAAATTCAATTTTTCAAATCGGTGTACACGATTACAGAAAAACTACTGGACCGATCGATTTGAAATTTAGCACACACATTCTTTAACTAATTCCTCAGGTATTCACGTCGGCCTTTTTTTAATTTTTAATTTTTATATATTTTTAAATTAAGAAATAACGTTTTTTTTTTTTAGTCAAAAATCGGGTTTTTGACTTTCAAATTTCATAAAAAATCACAAAAAAACTAAAAAAAAAACGCTTCGTGAATACCTCGGGACACTTATCCTTTAACGAATGAGGTATAATTTTTTTTAGATCGGATGATCCTGTGGACTGTTAGGATGTACACCGCAAAACAACTTTTTTTGGAGGCGACTCTGGAGATTCCCTATAACTTCTCTACCTCTAAATATTTTTCAATACAAAATTTATCAAAAATTATTCAAATGTTGTGTTATTATATGGTATTTAATTCATTAAGCTAACTTTAGCCGTTCCGCCACAAATAATTTGAAAAGTGGCCTTTTTTGCACCGAATTAACCTTACCCCCCCCTTAAAAGGTCCCTCTCAAATACGACACAGCGGTTGCGGATAAGCAATAATGTTGAAGGTTAGAATCGAACCGATTTTAAGTATGTTGGTATAAGCTAATTCAATTATGCAATTAGGTTCCCAAAACCATAAGGAATAAAATACAATTAACCTTTGTAATTTACATAATCGCATTGTATTTTAAAATAACTAATTTCTGATTTTGCGGATTTCAATCCTCCGGCCAAATGGCACACGGAAAGTTTCCGAGCGTTTCGCCTGCAATTTAATGGAGACTTAACAAAGGGAAGTACGAATCCGTAAGAATTTTTCGAAAGTGAACACTAGAACAGGTCAGGGAAATCCGAATACGAATAAATAGTGCACTTTACCAAAAAATTACTAAAATAAATATCCTCCAAAAATTTTATGATATTTAATAGTAACATTAACTTTTAGTAATTAGTTACAAATAATTTAATTCGTTTCGTTTTAGGCCCATTGGTAATGGCACACTGGTTCACATACAGATATTTTACAGTTTTGTGCCGAAAACGAATTTTTTTTTATTATTTGTAAATTATTTCTTATTAGTCGTTACATTTTAATTTTCGTATAAAAAATTGCTTGTATCTAACCTTATTAAGAGGTCTTTGTCTTAGTATTCTTGAATTTATAAATATAGTATATTTACACGCTAGTGGTGGAAAAACATCGATGTTCGCCGATTTTGTTGAAACATCGATTGTATCGAATAAACATCGATGTTTGTTCCAGCAATACTACACGCGTAAAGGCTTGACATTATTGTTTTAATTATTTATTTATTATTAAGAAATAGGAAATATCTGTCATTCTAAATTTATATCCTAACCTCTGACCGGATAAGGAGTGTTTTTTTAATAATATGCTCCGACTCACATCAGGTGGCCAGAGGTAAGGATAGGAGTCTTAAGATATTATTTTTATTAAAATCTAAGGACATTTCAAAATACAACAAAAAGTTCAGGTCGTTGTAAAGTGAACATAAAAAGCGAAAAGGATCATGTGCCTCAAAATTTGTTTTACAAATATCCAAAGCTAAAGGTCGAAAGTAATGTGATGGCCTTGAAGGAACTGAGAAACGTATTTGATTCAGAAGCTGACTGGAAAAAATATGTCCGTTAATAAGTGTTCAGGAGGGGGGTGGTCAGGAAATCCTCCGCAAAAGGATTCAGTCTAAAATTTGTCCCACGAAGAAGAAATGTAGAAATTCGGGATCGAAATTTTGACGATGGCATTGAGCGCCCGTTGCATATATTGACATTCGTTTTGGTACTAATCTTAGCTTAGCCTAAGGGCCCGTTGCCGACCGAGAAGCCCAGCTTAACAGCGCGAGAGCGGGAGAGCTGTCAATTGGAGAGGAGTAGCCGTCTCTAAGCCCGACTAGCAGACCATCGTTTACAAAGGCGAAAACCCCTTTAGCTCTACAAACAAAGTTGTCTGTGATACCCAGCTTGACTGCTCTGCAGCAGATACACAGTGACCTGTCAGAACTCCCACTATCAATCTTTCCGTGAATGATGCAGCACGTAGTGACTAAGTTTCTCGTTGCGCTCTTTGCACATGATTTTTGATATTCTGCAGGTTTTGGAATCACTCCTTCGCCTGCTTTTTGCGCTTGCTTCAGCCCGTCTCTCCACCTGGCTTTGAAGCGTTCTTACGGAGACAGGGACCTTTTCTGCTATTTCTCTCGCCAGTCCGACGCCTTCCTTTGCAAGTTCGTAGGCGGTCTCGTTACCGTCTATGCTTTGGTGGCGGGAACCCAGTAGATCCTCACAGACTTTGTCGTGCTCAGGCTATCTAGTGACTCCCTGCTTGCCAGTACATTTTTGGAACTGACCGGTGATGATTGCATGGATGTTATCGCCGCTTGACTGTCTACGAACAAATTTACCGCTCAGCTGCTTTTCTGATGGCGAATACTTCCGCCTGGAATATACTGCAGTGGCTTGGTAGCTTATACGACAGCCTCATTTCAGGGTCTGAACAATATATGACCGCTCCAACTCCTCCATCCATCTTGGAGCCGTTGTTGTGTATATTGAGGTATTGAGCATGGTCGTGGCCTGACTTCCAGTCATTTGGTCCCATGACTAATATTTTGTTTACATACGGGCACGTCCTGGGTATCATAGAGTATAGAACTATAAAGAGAGCGCATCTGGCATATTTTTATTTTATATTATATTTTATTATCAGTTTATTCGACTGTATTTAATTTAAAACATTAATCTAACACAATAATTAATAACATAAAACGAAAAAAAATGCATACAACATGTAATATTTTAAAAACACCTACAAATACTCAAAAATCGTTGTCTAGATTTGTGTTTATTTGTCAAACACAACCTTGTAACACTAAAATGGAATACAAAAGTTTCTTCTTTCTTCTAAAAATAAAAAAAAACAAAAAAAAAATTTTTTTTAATCTTAAGTCTAAACAGGATTTGAACCCATGCACTTCAGGGTGACCTTGGTAGGATGCCTTAGCCACTAGACCAACCGGCAAGCAGGCCTCGGGGTGCCCAGATTCAATGTAGAATTAAGCCTTGCGGGTTCCACGGGGAAAATGCGGGTTCTACCGCTGGAACCCGCCATACGACACATTTTTTGTAGAGATGTCAGCTCTATATAGTTCTATACTCTTTGGTATCATGTAGTCAGTTGTACTGCTCATGTCTCGACCAATTGAACTGTGCCCGAATCCCTGTCCCTGATGCAACAGACGTTGTGCCGCCTTTCCTGCTGTCAGTTGCGCTTGGATATATATGTAAAAAGGGAAGTGATGGAAGCAAGCGGGGAGCTTCGAACTGACAGCAGCTAGGTAGGAACAGGGAGAGAAATATTCATTGTGTTTTGTGGAGTTCAGCAGTGCGGTTGAAAATTCAGTAGATACGACAGCAGAGAGAACGAAAGCTGAAAAGCTGAAAATTAAAAAACCAGAAAAGACGCAAAACTTACAATAATCAAAATAAATATAATTTAACAAAATAAATACTATAATAAAGAACCAGCTAAGCGGGGCTATCAACCCATCTTACATATATGGTATAGATACCGATTGTTCAGGCAATTCAGTGGCGACTTATCTTTGAAACCCAATGTTTACATTTAGTACCTAAGATCATAGAGCTGAGCTTGCATGCTCATATAGCTAAAAGCTCTCTCTCTCTCTCTCTCTC